AGATGGTGGTGAGAGGTTGAGAGTTGAAACTTTGAGGAGTGTAGGGGCATGGAGTAATTTTCTGGGTGGAGACTAGGTGGACATTTGGCCTGAGTCGAGGTTTTGGCTCTAAACCGCATACAACTGGGCAGTCATGAGCAGTCTGTAGATGTACCTTATGTGCTAAGGGCACACAACCATGTTAAACAACCAGAGAATAATGCATTTGAGATTCCCTAAACAATATGATAATTCTCGAGAGACCAATTCTTCTGATTTCTTGACCCATTCTCTTGACAGTCTGCGGACAGCTTGCTGGCAATTACTTAACAGCAGGTTGAAATTATAGTTGCGTGTCCGTTGCTATTCACACACACACAAACACACAAACACACACACACACACACACAGACACACAGACACACAGACACACAGACACGCCGTACCAACAGATAGAAAAGGATGATGAAACTTGGAATTCCGTGTCAAACGATCCGGTGCTTGTTACTGGCCAATATTGCTATATCGATGTCATGATTTTCATCACCCAAGAATCCATGGGTTCAATCAACAACATCCCGGTTGACGGTGGGAAAATCCGGGTGATACAGTTGATACATCCTTGAAAAATTCCTTCTCTGGAGCCATGACAGCTAACAGTTGGCCGAAGAGGCCAAAAAGAACAAAGAAAAGGTGCAGGGAAACATGCTAAAAAGTCATCTCGCTTTTGACGGTGCTGGGAATCGAACCCAGGCTGGCACGGCCACAACGTGACGTCTTACCACTCGACCACACCGTCCTGTTTGTTAGGTGGGAGGAATCCCTTTGACACCATGAAAGAGAAGGGCCTGACTTTGACCCTCAACAGGTACTCATCAACTCCTCTTGATATGCAACTTTGTTGTGTTCGTTCGTTCTCCTTTCAAAACCCCCCCCTCTACCTGCACCGGAGTTCCCTCCATTTCCACAGGCGGGGAAGATTTGATATTTTAAAGTTATATGGCCCCCCGAACGTCTCGGAGCTGCTATTCCGTGAGATTAGGAAAGCTCGGGTAGCTAGTGCTTATCTCCAACCCTTGGAGGTTGTCACTGGTATATTTCTCGGTGCTGCCCGCTTCAGAACTCCGGTCGCACATTGGACTCAGTTTTCCGGAAACAGCGGGGTTCATGAATCACACAGGGTTCTGTAGCTTAATTTATAT